TTGTCTATAAATTCCCTGAAACTAAACTTTCCAAAATCAAAATACATAAAGACTATGAACAGTTATTTACAATAGGAAGAAGGATATTATTGGAGAGGTGAGATCAAGGAAGTCTTACATTGGACACCGGCTGTCTGTCCCAACAGTGAGTAAATTACACGCTAAACACCTGCCATGCACCTGAGGCGGGGAGGAGGGGAGTCCACTACCTGTTAGGGGCTTCTGGACTTATAATAAAGAAAAACTAGGTATGAAAATTAGGTATGCTTCCATTTAAGTGCAGCTATATAATAATAGTATATACCAAGTTAATGGAACAATCTACTTGGGAATGAAATGGCAAATATGAGGGGTCAGCAGGTGGCATCATGGTTAAACCTCTGAGCTCCCACATGGCCGACTGCGATTGGAGTCCCAGATAGGGTGGCTTGAAAATCATGCCAGGTATGTCTGCGTGTGCTCCCAAAACCCAAGGAGGGGAATGGAGGAGAAGGGATTATGGTGTGGCCCCCCACCCCCACCCCCAGAGTGATTTTTCACTTTCCCACTCTCTGGTGAACGTATTCCCCTACGGCCAAAAACGAAACACAAACATCTTAAAGAAAGAAAGAAATGGCATATATAAAGTACTAAGTGAACACCACAAAAAACAAGGCAAGTAAAGGGCCAAGAAGAGAGCACGTTCACTGGGCCTGAAGGCAGAGCTCGACTGTAGCAGGAGAGCTCGAGGTTTAGCAGGATAGCAGCCATTTTGAAATTAAGAAAGGCCTTTGACAAGAACGCTCTGACCCAGTGCTGAGTCACGGGGAGGTCTGTTTGAGGAATGGACAGATGAGAAACCAGGAGTGGGTGTTTGAAGGAATCAGGATAATGACTCAGGGAAAAGCGATGGGCCGGATTGGTTGCAGTTGTAGTGAGGAACGATTTGTACCTGCTTGTACCTTATACCTATAAATACTGAGGACACGTTGAGCTTTTTGACACAGTTCGGTGGTACCGGCTGGCTGTCTCCCTGTATCTGGTTACAGAATAAACTCCCTTCTCCAGCCTCTGCCTCTCATTTCACTGACCATGAAAAGAAGCTGCCAAATTTAGTGTGGTCAGTGACACAACTGCTGGGTAAAAGGTTTCTTACATTAGTCAGGTAATCATGCTCTACAGTAGCGGGATGTGGGGAGCCGCCCACATCAAAATGGCTGTCATGACCTTCACTGCTTAAGAATGGCCGGTGCGACCTTGACACAGACACCAGGAATGCAGACCCCCTGGTTCACACAGAACTGGCAGGTCCTCAATAAGGTCCGCTGTAAACCCCGCCTACCTCCCTCTACCTTGTGTATATAAGAAAGCGCTCTAGCCCTCAATAAATGAGCGAAACCTTTACATCAAGAGCTGTGACACTGTGAGCTGTGATACTTCTTTCGCTCCCGTGCTGAGACGCTGCGCCGGTTCCAGACCTCCGCCCCCTCGCTCGAGTTTCCCTGCCCGATTCGTCCCGCGGGTTCGGGACAGCGGGACTCCAACTGCTTCAACACCTTCCCTTCCATATCTTCACTGCAAACCCTTGACCACTCGCTAAGTAGCAGAGTGTGTTAGTAGACACTAGGGAATGACAGAGTCTCAGTCTCTCTCACCCAGCCACCCACTCCCCCACACACTGGAGCCCTCATCGGCAGGTCCTAAGAACAGTGTAGGGTTAGGTCGAGGAGAGCAAGCTGTCCTAGGAGTCTCATCACAGACACGTGCAGTAGAAAGATTCCCAGAGGTCCTCCTCCTGAAAAGCATCTTGAGAAATTACACAAAAAGCTGATTTTCCTACTGTTCAAATTTCCCTAAACAACTTTATTTGAATAAGATCTCACTAAGATTTACATCAAACAACATGAGTGAACACTGAGTGGAAGAAAAGCGTATTTTCTTTATTTTTTTATAAAAAAAAGAATTATTTAACTTTATTTACTTATTTAATTTGATCAGAGAGGAACAGAGAGAGAGAGAGAGAGAGAAGGAAAGCAAGAAAGCAAGCCACCAGGTTCAAGACTTAAATCATGGTCTGCCATGTGGGAGTCTAGCACCCTTAACCACCACACCACCTGCTGGCCCTGAAAAGAGTATTTTCTGGATAATAGAAGAAAAGGTTATTTTCTGGAAGCAAATAATAGCTCTTGATTCTCCCATTCCACAGATAAAGAGGCATTTTTCTAATCTGTTTATATACTGATGAAATCAGTTCTTAAAATTCATTAAATTTTCTTATTATATTTTGAATTTGCTATAGGGCATGAGTGCTCACCAGAGATAGAGAGGGAAAGTGAGAAAGCAAATCATCAGTTCTGGGATTCGAACCATGGTCAGCCATGTGGAAGTTCAGCACCTCAACTGCCATGTTACCTGCTGGCCTCAATTAAATCATTTTGTCAAGAGTTTTCAACTGACAGGGATGGATGGGGTAACTTACATGAGATATTATGGTATTACAAGAAATATTATGGTATTTTGTTTAAAACATACTATGGCTTGTTGTACACTTTAAATTTCAAAGTACCTTTCAATCTGAGTCCAAGTTTCAGTTTGTTCTTAATTTCTCATTTCTGTATTTAAAAAATATGTTTCTGGGGACCAGCAGGTGGCACGGTGGTTAAGGCACTAGACACTCCCACATGACTGACCACAGTTCGAGTCCCGGACCTGGTGGCTTGCTTTCTCACTTTCTCTCTCTCTCTCTTTCTCTGTTTCTCACTCTGGTTAAATTAAATGAATGAATGAATGAAATGAAGTAAATAATTCTTTTAAAAATACATTTCCAAGGGACTGAATTGATTGTCACTATTGCTATTTGCTATCTGAAATTCTTTGGGCCTTACTCCAGAACCATGTTAAGCACATTGTGCTTCCTACCCAGTGGTGGGTTTCCAAATCTTTAGTGCCCTGTTAACCTACGTTTCACATGAACTCTCATAGAAGACATCATCGGAGACAGAAAAATGGCTAAATAGCTGGGAGATTACGATAAGTTATAGAGACCTATGGTATTATGATCCGGTAATGGTACTGAAAACATGAAAGACACAGGTGCTAATTAGACCACGTTAATGAGAACACAAAAGCTATTCATTCATTATGATGAGGCTCTGTTGGTAGGTTATGTATAAATCACTGACTTCTCCAAGGAAAATAGTCATGAAGCAATGTAAAAAATGTAGTTTGAGATATCTTTCCTCCTCCTCCTTTGCTGAAGTCCACCATTGGCTTTAAAGTAGAGAACAGGGTTCTGGAAAATTGTATACAGATGCCCAGGAACTAAGGAACTACTGAAAAATAGGATTATGGGAAAATATCCAGATGGAATCAACTCTCGACCTACCTGAGGTAAAGATCATGTACTTCTACCAAATAACTACGTATAGTGGGCAAGTGTTAAAATAAACTTACACATTCAGTAAATCAGGACTAGAGAAACACCAGCATGTGTGAGAATCACTATGTAAAATTCTTCCAGGAATAAAAATAATGCTTACTTTGGTATTTGAAGGACAAATACTAAAAATTAGCACTCTATCAATTTTCATTTCAAAACATCATGTTCTATACTTTTTAAAAATACAGACTAAAGACATCTTATTTTAATTTTAGGTAATGGATGATATTTATACTTTCCTGGTAATGATTTTGCTATTTCTCAAAAATAGGAAAAAACTACCTGGATTGTTATTTGCCCCTAGAAATCAGAGTCGAATACTAGATTGACTTAAGTTGAGCATTAGGACACATGCTAAAATAACCGAAAGCTACTTGGTGAGCATTTAGAAGTCCCATATTACCTGTTCAGTGACAATGAAATGATTTCTATTCTGAGAAACCAAAGACAATTTTTAATTTTTAAGACAGGGTCTCACCACATCTGCTCCTGCCTCAGCCTCCTGATTATACAAATGCATGCCACCATTCCCGGCATTTTAGGGTGGACCGGGAATTGAACCTGAAGCTTCCATACGGCCTCAGCCTGCTGAGTAGCAGCACCCACCAGCAAACCCTACCATAGCTGAGCCCAGGACAAATTGTGACATGTCTACCAGCACAATCATTGTCCTATTGTATTCTCCTAAGCGCTATCACAAGTACAATTCACTTTCTGATGCAAAAGGTGTAGTTTTGTTACAAAGAAAACCATCATTTTTCTACCTTTGATTATGGAAACACAGAGATAATAATCACTCCTAAAAATCTTCCCTTCTTACATGGTCACTGAGGACAGAATTAGGACTATGTTTTCCCAAAGTTGTTTCCAGGGGGCCTCGAAGAGTCAAACCTATGGACACTAATAGAAGCCTAGACACATTAACATGCACGTAAATAACATTCATTTTGGTCCACCTATAGTGGGACGCTAGCTTCTGTCCCAGGGACACTAAGCCTTCTTATCTCTGAGAGTAAAGCACCGATACTCTTTTGTCGATTTCTCTCAGGAACAGAGATGTGTGTTTTTCTTGAACCAATCACTAAGAATTTCAACTCCAGCTATAACCTACAGGCTTCAGCTTCCAGATCCCTCCTTTTTGGGCCAGGCCACGTAGAGGACTCCTGTGCTGATGGACAGCTCTCCTGCTCCCAGAACTGAATGAAAGGAATCACCTCAGCACACGGAAAAGCACTTGGTCTTTTCTGGGCCACGTCACTTCCTCTTGTGCTCGGTAATGAACTGCATTAGTTACTATTTCTGCAGAGTTGGTTATCTCGAGACGTTGCCATTACAAAACTTACCTCCTGAAAAGAGTGTTCTGAAGATTGAGCTTTCACTCAACAGCATAAAAAGCTGAGACTTAACACAGTGAGAAATCTTGCAAAGGAAGTAAACTTAAGCAACATGGATGAACTGTTCATGCACGCAGTAGCATACTTTTCAAAGAACGTGAGTATGCACCTGTGCACACGCGTACACCCCCCCCCCCCCACGTTACTTTATAAAAGGAGGTTTGAGACATAATGGGGAAAAAACTCACCGAAAAGTCTTCAAAGATTTTCATGAGCTCCTCTTGACCGTGCCTTTCAGCAACACGCGCTGGGTCTGAGCCCTCCATATTTTTCATCTGCGACGCCCAGGCTGCTCCTGAACATTGAAGCAAATGAAGCGCCAGGTTCTTCAAGCCAAACTTGGCTGCACAGTGGAGGAGAGTGGGAAGTTCTTCGAAGTGAGTATCTGCAAGCACGGGAAACAACAGGATCTACGTGCTGAAATTATATCTGTGATTCCACAAAAAGTCAAATGCAATTCACTCCTCAAAGTTACTCCCCCAAATCAAAGAGACATTTAGTAGAATTTTTCATATAAGAAACCATTGGTGGTTTGAGGATTAGAGATCCTTCTTACCTTTTGGTATTTCGATCTTAAACTAAATATAAACTAATATTCTCACTAGCAGTCACGTACCACCCTTACTGGTAGGGTAAATGCAAAGTCAAATTAAGCTGTAATCGCTCTTTTCGAATGTACTTCCACCTTATCTTTCACACAATAAGGAAAGTCTATCAACTCATCTATGGAGCTGTTTTGTTGCCATATCTAGTCTGCTGCCTTCTGAAGCTGAAATAAGCAAGAAATTTCTGGAAGCGTTATTTAGAGTTCTATAGGAAAACTTTTCTTTCAAAACCAAACTGCAACAGAAAACACAGTTGACTATTTTCAGAAACAGCTCCAGTATGGGAATTTCCAATAAGGCTTGACAACTTTTATATCAGTGTTTCAGAATCGAATGCCGTTAATTACTTACCAATGATCAATTGGAGGACATGTATTGATAAGGCATAGGTATAAAATGGAGGGTACAGACTGCCATCCCAAGGACAAATTGGTGATGATTTACTATGGCATGTTTGCGCACCCAGCGGAGGGAAAACGCTGCAGAAATGTCACTCCGGCTTATAAGGGCCATGGCAGCATCAAGCAGTGTGAAGACTTAGAGCAACAGCAATAAACTCATCAAAGCAAAAGTCCATTCTTGCCCTGCAGAATTCTAAAGTCATGGAAAAGGACTACCTTGCAACGTTCCTGAAAGTAGTGAATCTGCATAGCCTCTTTACTTCTTTGTTATTTTGTCAACAACAACAACAAGTAATAAAAGAATGATGGGAGGAAGAAAGGGGCCCAGCCACAGCACTGCACAGATGTTACCACTGCGTGTGGGGCAGAAGACTGGGGGGATACCAGGTTCGATTCCTTGACTCGCCCGGGGAACATGGGTGTGGCTGTGTGCATCTTTAACCCCGGCTCACTGGGACAGGCTGGGCCCGGAGAATGCCAACACTGAGATTCTGTTGAAAATGCTTATCTCGGTCTCTGTTTTTTTCTCTTTTTCTCCCTCCTCTCTTCCTTCTTCTTTTTTTTTTTAAATCTCGCTCTCAAACAGAAAAGAAATGGAGGAAGAAAGGAAGGGAGGAGGGAGGGTGCTAATAAGGGAGGGAACAAAGACACTGATAAACCTATTTATGCTTTTTTTAAAAAAAAATTCTATCTTCCATGAATGAGAGAGACAGCGAGACTGACATCCCCAACAGTCTTGAAGTCATGGCCCAGCTCTAGTCAGGCCCAGAACATGGGTACATGTGTGTGCTGAGACACGAGGAGGTCTCAGGACACAAACTCAGACCCTTCCCACGTGGGGGTGTCTGTTTACCTCTGCGCCATGGTCCGCCCCAGTCTCTCACGTGGTAGGCAGTGGATGGAAAGTTGTCATGCATCTTATACACATAGATAAAAGTTGACATTGTTTAAGGTAAGTGTCAACTTTCAAAATAAAAATAATGCATTTTCTTAAAAAAGGTATTAATATACAATGTTCTCTTTATTTGCATTGGAATGCATTATAGACATACGATTTCCTGTTAATAATTATGCTAGGCCCAAGTCAATAAAGAAAACTATTTTCATAATTACAGCAGATTTTTACATATTTTAATCATCTTGCTCTGCCATGCCCAACTGTACAACATAGTAACAGCATCATCACTTGCCAACCAGTGCCTCTTGCACTTTCCTGCCCACTGGTATTCTGAGAAATTTTTTTTTTTTGGAGAGGTTTTCACTATAGGGCGTGTACGCTTGCCAGACAGACAGAGAGAGACATAGAGACAGAAAGCGAGATTGCATGCTGCAATCCCTTCTCCTCCATTCTCCTCTTGGGATCTTGGGCACGCATGCACACGTGCCCGGTGTGAGTTTTAAGCCACCGGGTCCGGGACGTGAACCACGGTCGACTACGTGGGAGTCCAGCGACATAGCCATTAAGCTAACTGCTGGTTCCCTGATAAATTTTTAAATCATGGTCAATACAGCTTCAGGTGTTCTCTTCATTAATACATTTTTAATCATTATAGGAATGCATTCACCTTTTAGCCTCATCCACCACCTGCCAGTAAATTGCTCAAGTTAATGTAATATAATACTAATAACCACAAACTTCATTAAGAATCTTACTTTTAGTGTTTATTTCGTTCTGCCAGGAGTGCATGTGTGCAAGAGACAGAGAGAGATAGCACTACAAACGGGGTCTCGAACACAAGATCCACCCCAGCCTTCAGCCAGCCCAGATCATGGGCAGGTGTGGTGGGCATACTCAGGGAAGTCTTCAGGCTTGAACTGGGAACCTTCCCAAGTGCTTCATTTTCCTGCTGTGCTACCTCTGCCCCAAGAATCTATTATACGTTTATGTACCAGAAAAACTAACGAGTGCTGACAAGTGGTCAGAGTTTGGGGGGTACCTACTTTCCTTCCTTCCTTCCTTCCATTCATCCATCCATCCATCCTCCCTCCCTCCTGCCCTCCTTCTCTTCCTTCCTTCTTTCTTTTATTTATAATTTCCCAGAGGGTATATGTACTTCAAAGAGAGAGGGAGAGAAAGTCAAAGCACCCATTTTGGGGAAGGTCATGCTGCAATCCCTTCCTGTCCGTTTCTCCTTTGGGGATTCTGAACACACGTGCACATGCATTCCATGTATTTCTCAAGCCACGAGGTCCAGGACTTGCACAGGAATTAGCTGCACTAAGCACTGTGCCACTGTCCTGTCCTGGGGTACATTTCTTAGCAGTCTTGTCCTCCAATCCATGTTTGCTGACACATTCTATTGACAGGATTACATTGCTGATATTGATACTATGAAGTTAGGAGTTCAGCTTTCATATCCAAACTTGTAGGGCTCTTGAGATAGATAATTCGACATATATAAGGTGCCTAATAAGGTGGCTAAAACAGAACAGCACTCAGTAAACATTACTGCCCTCCCCTTCTCACTTCTGCATCAAATAACTTAAAGCACTCTAGTCCTAATTCATTTTGCCTCATTCTTGTGATCCCTAATTCTTTTGTTGATTCCAGACTCTTTACCATCCTGAGAGTTTGACCTTAGAGCAGTTGGTCCTTTATGTGATACTGAATCAGTTTCAGACCACAAAAATGATAACTCACAGCAATACTTTTCATTGTCTCGGATGAAGTTATATCGCTGATTTCCACTGAACAGGAAAACAGGAAATGACTCAGCCTGCTAATGTACATAGACAATAATTAGGATTTCTAATTGAAAAAAAAAACCAAAAAACCAAAAACCTGGGCCAGCCCATGGCATGGTGGTGGAGGTGGCTGGGTGCCATAAAGCTGATGGCACAGTTCAAGTCCTAGACCCAGCAGCTTGAGAAACACACAAGATACGTGTGTGTGTGTGTGTGTGTGTGTGTGTGTGTATGTGTGTCCAAAACTCTGAAAGGACAGAAATGGATGAGAAAGGATTGTGGTATGATCATGCCCCATGGGGGATGCTTTCTCACTTACCCTCTCTCCCTCTCTGTCTCACTTCAGCAAAAACACATATCCTCTGGTAAATTTTCACAAAAGGATTAAACGAAATATGACCTAATTAACCCCTCAAACAATGTGAAAGATTCACAAAAGCTATATTTTTTAACATAATTAAAAAATTATACTATTATTTTAATAGTATAATTATAATAAAAAATAATTAATGCTAATTAAATCACAACCTGTAGGATAATTTTTGCAGAGCATCAAATTAAATATACTCAGTATACACATGTGCTGTTATATTAATATTCATTAATATTCACCGCTATCCCTTCTCCTCCATTCTCCTCTCGGGATCTTGGGCACGCATGCACACACATCCAGTGTGAGTTTCAACCACCAGATCTGGGACTCGAACCACAGTTGACTACATGGGAGTTTAGCAACACAGACATTAAGCCAACTGCTGGTCCCTAAAAATTTTTCTGATATTGCATATTTCAAATACTTCCTTTTCTTTTAAAATGATAATATACATATCTCTGATGAGATTTTCTTCTTTTCATATACATTGTTCAACTTTTACACTATATTCTGTAACGTGTTTATCACAGCTATTTTAATGTTCCTATCTGATCATTTTAATATCTCAACCATTTCAGTGTCTGCTCTTTTTGACTGTTTCTTTTCTTGACTATGGGTTACTTTTTCTTCCTTTTCCATTTTCCTAGTAATTTCTTGTTATAATATATTAGGTGCTGGACACTCCCACATGGCTGACCTCGGTTCGAGTTCTGGATCTTGTGGCTTACTTTCTCACTTTCCCTCTCTTTTTCTCTGTGTCCTTCGCTGGTTAAATTAAAATAAGTGAATGAATAGTTAAAATAAATAATTCTTTGAAAATATATCAGGCACTATGTTAAAAGACTGGAGTAAGTAACACTGACTCCTCACAATAAGGCACACCCTTTTGTAAATCAAGACAACTACAGGTGGGGATGAGTGAAATGAATCCACAGATGAGCCGAGCATGGTCTTTCTGCGGCCTCACTTGGAGTCAGTTAACTGCTGACCTCAAATATCTTGCACAGTTTGGGATCTGAAACCTGGTGAGACTCAAGAGATTTCCATTGCTTTGCAGACCAGATGCCAGCTTTTCCTTTGGTCACTAGAAATGTCTATTCCTTCTCCAGTCCTACTTCAAAATTCTTTTAAGTTGAGACCAGCAGGTGGTGTGGTAGTTAAGGTGCTGGACTTCCGCATGCTTGACTATGGATTGAGTCTGGACTCGGATGCTTGAAACTCATGCCGGGTGCATGTGTGTGCCCAAAACTCTGATAGGAGAATGGAGGAGAAGGAATTGTGGCATAGCCATCCCCCTTGGTGAGTGATTTCTCACTTACTG